TGATGATCGAGACAAAACAAAAATTTTGAAAAACTGTCATAAACTAAAGGATACCGACATATCAATTAGCGAAGACTTTTCCCAGCGTGTGCGTAATATAAGGAAAAAATTATGGGACTCGGCGAAACCAAATAAGGAATCCGAGCAAAAGGTACATCTTGTCTACGACAAAATTAGTATAGACCGCATTCTTTATCACTGGGATAATACCGTAAACGATACAGTGATGATTGGCGAGGCAAAAAATCCCTCAACTGGAAAAAAAACCTGCCAAGCGACGGGCCGGCGTCTCGCACTCGAAACCGCCCTAGTTGAGGTTTATAAATGTGAATTGCCGAAGCGTCTTAAACAAATTAGAATCCCTTGAATGCCTACTTCTCGACCTTGAGCCAGACTTTGGTGCTTTAACCGAAACCTGGTTAAATAATGACATTTTAGATAGTGAAGTAACGCCCCCAAACTACAATATAATACGTAAGGACAGACCGACACGAGGCGGTGGAGTAGCGTTAATGATAAAACGCGAAATACAATACACTGTGCTACCAGAGGTTGAAGGCATAGCAGCTGTCTTTTTGAAACTAAAATTTAGCCTTCTCACAACAATTGTGGGCTGCTGCTATCGCAGTCCTACTTCTGGCGAAGATAGCATGCAATCGCTCTACAACTACATTGAACAAAACATACAAAGCGCAAGATTCATCTTGTTGGGTGATTTTAACCTTCCTGTTATCGACTGGCAATCCATGAAATTTCATTCCGCATGCTCAGATGTCGTTATCGGCACAATGCTGCGATTTAATCTTCCCCAAGTAGTCAACCAACTAGCCCAAGCTGCCACACTTCTATGTGGCGCCTGGGATGGCAAGTATACTCCCAACAGGAGACAGACTGGAGAAATGGGGCATGGCCCCATCTTTCACTTGCTCTGATTGCCCCCTACATGCTCGAAAGTTATGTCCTTCGTCGATATATATATATATATATATATAATATATATATATATATATATATATATATATATATATATATATTGTGTGCATGCTTTCTTACCCGTTGGTTGTATATAAAACGTTCGTGACATCACTGTGCATTTACGTAAATAGCCTATGCCATATCATCTGGTGTACATATACATATATACTTACATGATGGTGAAAGTTTGTATATATTGTATATACGTCGTAAAGTAAAATATGTATAATAATATAAGTGCATGTGTGTACGTCTTGGGTCATAGTAACACACGTTACGGACTTATTACGGAACTGGACATTTTCGTTTCAACGTTTCATGTACTTTGTGCTCACTCGTTTGTGTTTATTGCTGTCCTTATTTTTCTAACGCTGCTTTCTATAATTTGTTCCGTACCACGGTGGAATAACATTTTTCTAAACATGATAAAGACTGTTAATTAACTGTATACATCTGCTCTACGGGACAGCTTCAAGGTATCCCATAGCAGAGTACTTTGCACTCTAAATCGCCAAACATTTCTTCTAAACCACGAGCGTGTCTTACTTGACATAGGACTGGTTTCGAAACCGCACGTTCTCCTTCAGTTTTTGTTAACAGGACCTCGTCAAGTGTGAGGCCTACGGGATGGCTTTATGCTCTCCAATAGTAGAGTACCTAGTGCTCGAATTCATTACCAACTTTTTCTAAACACACACGTTCACCCAGGTGATTGCCTCTTGGAGATAGTCCGTTCTAGGGCTGAGAAACGATGTTCAATATCAAAGTGATAGCCGCCAATGCCTCACGTTCACGTCCGTCCGTCCGTGCCCTGGCGTGGTGCCAGGTCGGCTGTGGTCTCTTTCCCTTTTATTCTCTCAGCAATCACGATGCACGTGGGCACCAAAGCACTCGTGCTTTGCTATCGCAACGTGGCTGTGTCAAGCGTACCCACTCAAGCAGGAAAGGAGACGCGCGCATCAAGTTCCATTCTGACCAAGGAGAATTAAAAAAAAATTCCTGGAGTGGAAGCTCGAGCAACGCCTTGCCAGATGAAGTGAAGCCACCTTTTGCCACTGCCAAGATGGCGGAAACATGCTCTTTTCTGATAGTGCCCCCTTGAAGATCAAGTAATTTTGATATGTTGCGTAAATGCTATGTTAGTTCTGTATTAAAAGAAAGGTGTCCCCGACGAAATAACAGACAGAAACTAGTATGGATGACTGAATCTTCAATGAACTTTGCCTCCGATTAGAGGCTCACGAAGGAAAACTAGTAACACTAAGACGCACTTGGGGCACTATGTGGTCCGAAAAAAGTTCTCACATTAAACTCGTTGGGCCTGCGAGGGAAACGATTCGTTTTAAAAAAAGTACCTGGTACTCTATATCGTTACCCACTTTTTCTCACCCCCCCCCCCCCCCAAATCGCTGAACGGGACTTCACAAGTACCGTTAAAAGTGCCCTATGTTGCGCGCAGTTTGGGGACGGCTTTAAGCTCTCCCATAGTAGAGTACCTGGTACTCTAAACCGTTACCCACTTTTTCTAACCCCCCCCCCCCTCCAATTGCTGAACGGTGATATCTTATCATGCCCCAAGTAAGATGGCCGCCGCAGCCACAACCTTGCCAGAGGAACGGCTTCACTACTGCGCAGTCATTTCCACTCCAGCCATTTTTTAATACTCCTTGATTTTGACTGACCTCATCTCAACGGGCACAGGGCTTCGGCGAACACGCTCTAGAATTTACAAAATGTATACTTCAAAGTTTTATTCATCGACCTTTTTCTCTAAAAAACATTCACAAATCGTTCGCGAGAGCTCCTGCAGAGGTTCACAAGAATTACGTGCATTAAAGTGCTCCAGTCGCCACTCTAAAAAAAAAAAACGCTTCGTGCGCTGACGAAACAGATGAAAAAAAAAAAAATGGCTGCGCCGAACACGGTCAACACGGCAATATCGTTTGGCGCTGGACTGAAATTTCTTGATTGTGGCGTCGAAACGCGTTGATTCGTCGAAGACGAAATGGTGCTGGCCGCGGACCACATCATTTTCACCGGCATAAAGGTCGCCGATGGCGATACAGCGGAAATAGTTGCGCTGTACGTACGAACATCGAGCCTCTCCGACAACCCCATCAGATTCACTTCGAGTTGAAGGACCTGTCTAGCGAGTCCGATGTTGAAGTAGGCATATGCTCATGCGTAGCGTGCCTCTCTGAGCGGTGTTAGCACTTCTGCGCGGCGTTGCTACACTGATTGATTGATTGATATGTGGGGTTTAACGTCCCAAAACCACTATATGATTATGAGAGACGCCGTAGTGGAGGGCTCCGGAAATTTAGACCACCTAGGGTTCTTTATTGTGCACCCAAATCTGAGCACACGGGCCTACAACATTTTCGCCTCCATCGGAAATGCAGCCGCCGCAGCCGGGATTCGAGCCCGCGCCCTGCGGGTCAGCAGCCGAGTACCTTAGCCACTAGACCACCGCGGCGAGTCGGCGTTGCTACACTGTTACAGGCAAGGCCTTTACAGTTTGCCAGGTAACTATACTGCGACGAATGCTGTCGATTGCACGTATCCGATCGAGTTCTGTTGTCCCGTCAAAAGCTGAACACGCATACTGTTCACTTCATTACAGAACAGAGCTGCGCCTGGGCATGTAGCTTGAGATACGGCAAATAGTAGTTTGAATTATAATCGTGGTTTCGATTTTTTTTCTTTGCGATGTATGTTAAAATTCCAATTAATAAAGTCCGGTGCTTCCGAACAGTCACTTCTTCTACTTGGCAGTAGTTTATATTCAAATTAGATATATACATGCACACTACGCACGCTACGAATGCACGGACATGAGATAGACGCGAACATTCATACACGCGCGTGTTCGTGTATGTACAAACATTCGGAATCAAAACTGCTCGGGGTGTACTGATTACAGCAGCTTAATGGATAGTTTGCAATAATCGGCGAGGCGGTTTTCCTGTAAGGTTTGTTTTTCAACCAAAAACTCTCGTTCACAAACTGCTTTTCTCACTCATTGTGCAGCGAATGAAGGCACGTGAGCACGCGAGTAGCACAAAATGAGCGAGAAAAGCAGTCTGTGAACAAGTTTTTAGTTGGAAAACAAGGCTTACGGGAAAGCCGACTTGCAGATTATTGCAAACTGTTCATTTGAGAATGGGAACGTAGCACTGAGACTTGCATAGAAAACAAGCATGCCCGAAAAATACTCGCACGTAACGCAACAAACTTCATAAAGCGTTTGCTAATATTAGCGAAACTATCCGTGCTTAGGGAATCCCGAATAATGCTTTACTCACCAAGGAAAATGAAGTCGCTTGTCCGTCTCTCGGTTTTTTTTTTTGTGCTAAAAGCTATACCGTAAGAATGAACCAACTCACCCAACAAGTCACTCTGCTGAAGGAAAATGAACTCGTTGTGACTGAGTTGATTAGAACAATGATAGAGTTTCCTACGTTTACTAGAGAAAACTATGGCGCTGCAGTCGCTTATTCACAACGGTAATGATGAGCAGAACACGGATTTGCCTCATCGCGATGCTTGCGGCTTCGAACGTCCTTTTAGCTTTGCTTCTTGTTGTGCTTCGGTGTTTGTTTTAGACAAAAAAAAAAAGAATACCTTGTTGTGACTTACGGGCCACGATTTGAATTAGCGAACCTAAATAGGTTAAGGTGGTAAAGTAGAACTGCTGAACGTTTGCCGAACTTCGTATTGTGACAAAGCGCAAGTAGGCCACACGGAGCCAAACGGAGCCAAAGAACAAAGTTTATACGAATCCATGTACTGCCCGTTATCCCTATACGCTCGCTAAAGCGCTATGCCTTGCAGCTTCCTTAGACACTATAACGCCAAATTTTCATGTGGTGTACCATTAGAAAACTAGGTACGACAAGAGCCGCTTCGCTGGCCGGAGGCCTGTCACAACCACGTGATCAAACACGACGGCGCCCACGCTTGGCTGCGTAAAATCGTCCACAACTCCGAAAGATGACTGGGCTGTATGCAGCTGGCACACTCACCCTTGGCGGCCTGATGGAGAGGTCGAGTATCCTGAGCACGATGGTCTGTCCCGGAGACGCCTCCAGGAGCCAGGAGCAGTTGGACAGCGCAGGGTAGAAGTGCGGGAAGCCCGGAGACGACAGGTAGCCCTCGGTCGGGGAACGAACGTGCGCGCCGCACTTTTGCATCAGCGAGCGCTCTGCAAAGACGCGAGTTTTTAAAGGGACATCAACCAAATAGCGGTTTTCAGCGAGTAATATAGGGCCTGTTGTGCATGTACATACATGAAAAATGATTATTTCATTTCAAAGTGAGCCGTACATGTAGCCGGCTATAGATCCCACCCACCACCAGAGGGCATTGCTTTGCCATGGCGTGTGTGACGTCATGCGCGAATAGCGAATAATATAGGGCCTGTTGTGCATGTACGTACATGAAAAGGAAGTATTTCATTTCAAAGTGAGCATACATTTAGCCGGCTATAGGCCGCACCCACTACCAGAGAGCATTACTTTGCCATGGCGTGTGTGTGACGTCATGCGCGAATAGCGAATAATATAGGGCCTGTTGTGCATGTACGTACATGAAAAGGAAGTATTTCATTTCAAAGTGAGCCGTACATGTAGCCGGCTATAGATCCCACCCACCATCAGAGAGCATTACTTTGCCATGACGTGTGTGACGTCATGCGCGAATAGCGAATAATATAGGGCCTGTTGTGCATGTACGTACATGAAAAGGAAGTATTTCATTTCAAAGTGAGCCGTACATGTAGCCGGCTATAGATCCCACCCACCACCAGAGACCACGACTTCGCAATGGCGTTTGTGACCTTATGCGCATCATGGGGTGTATCCGTCGTTTCAGCCACTTTATCGGAAATCAAAATTATCAAGCATCGCTCGAAGAACACGCCGCTCGGCTTTCACTTAGTGTGTCTAGATTGATATTCGGGTTTGGAAGCGTGGCGGTTTGGGCTATAGCTGCAATGACACGATGATTGTTATAGCGCGAGAACAGAACGACGACAAAAGGACAAGAAGAAGACGAGCTCTCGTCTTCTCGTATTGCGGGGGGCTGCAGAAATTTAGACCACCTGGGGTTCTATAAAGTGCACCCAAATCTGAGCACACGGGCCTACAGCATTTTCGCCTCTATCGGAAATGTAGCCGCAATGAAGAAAGCAAGAACATGAACAAACACGCTCGTAGTACCAGGAACAACTGCAGTTTGCTGTAAAGATTTAAATGGAAGGAAGGTGTTTTTTTTTCCGCTTTGTGTTCATTCTTTCACGATGTTTTTTTTTACGAGTGCGAAGTTATGAAAAGAAATTACAGGGTATCGCGTAATTTCATTTCCGGGTATCCTTATACACGCCATAAGCTCTGTGCATTTACTCACAGCTGGCGGCACAGCTGCGCAGCGAGCGTTGATACGAGAAGGCAAATTGAAAGGGGGTGGGCAGATTGCGTGCGTCAGGTACACGTCGTGGCAGGTAAGCGTCCGCGGACCCTCACTCACGATGTGCTCGAGGATTCACACGAATATACGGCGAGTCTGCGACAACCCCGCAGACTTGGCCAAACTCACGAATACGAGCGCGAGCTTTTGGTCACACTAGATTCTTTACGATTCTTCGACGCCCTAGTTCGGCAGCATGTTGTATGCTCTGCAACCTATGTATGTATGTATGTATGTATGTATGTATGTATGTATGTATGTATGTATGTATGTATGTATGTATGTATGTATGTACATACATACATACATACATACATACATACATACATACATACATACATACATACATACATACATACATACATACATACATACATACATACATACATACATACATACATACATACATACATGTGACGCTATGATGAATGGGAGACGTGGCCTGGCTCATACGCCAAGTTTATTCGCAAGCACTTCTTCATCGGCTTCTACCATGCCTTCATACGTCACATGATTCCCCCTCCCCCCGAAAGAATGTGCGAGTTACAATCAACGAAACAACAAAAAGTATAAAGTGAAGAATGTCAAAATGCGTGGTAGTTCGATTTCAGGAGGGAGTTTTTTTTTTTTTTTTAACTCGCACAAAAACAAAAGCTTCACGGTATAGGGCAGCAGTCCGGTCATATCTAGGGTAGCTCTGGTGGACGAAGCTAGCTGTTGCGCCCTCGATAGCATAACCCTGCCCTGCACATCTCCACTGATGATGACACGACTTGAGGTCTTGTGAAGAACGAACAAGGCTTGAAATCTGTGTAGCATTGGATTGACGGATGTCTTTGGCATCGGATCCAGCGCCGTCGTGGCAATAGATGTTTTGCTTCTAGTCGGCGCGCATGAGAACCAAGGATGATGGGACGATGTCTTTTTTTCTCCGTTGTATACGTAGTAGCTTCATGTCTCTTTCGTAACTTTCTGTGGCGTTCTCTCAGTTTGTTGGATCGCAGACATGGCTTTGAGAACTGGTGCAGAAAATTTTGTCAACGTTGCTTTCTGCGAAGATGGCTTAGGCATTGACTTTGTCTTTGCTTCTTTAATTGATGTTGTCTCTGATGACCTTTCAGCCACAAGTGCACTCGTGAGGAGGTTTCACTTGATCGCTGTTGTTGTTCGAGTAGCCGTTGCAGTTCTTGGAGTTCGTGGAGTTGCCTTTGTTGAAATTGCTCGTCTTGTTGTGAAAGTTCGTCAGATGGGCCTCTTTCAGGAACATGAGTCTGCTTTTCTTTAGATGGTGATGTGATCAGTAGATTGTCGGTAGTCGACACTGTACTGCTAGGCTTGTCTTGCGATGAAAGCAGCGTGACAGGCTGATGAGAAAGCTCCCAAGATGGTTGTGAGTCATCCTTGATTGTAAATGCTTCTGTCAGTTGACAATGCGCCGGCCTTGGTGGATTCGAAATTCCTGCAGTGCTTTGGCTCACATATGTGTTATCACTTGACGATGAGAGCACAACAGACATGGCTTCAGGTGGTTCTGATGGCGTATGTTTTTCTTTTTGCAGCGTAGTTAGGCTGACAATGTCTGTCGAACGACCCTAGTCCGGAACGTCAGGGTAGGGGCTGGTATTGTGAGGGTTCACCAGCTCGTCACGCGCAAATTCCGTCGCACGCTCGAAACCGTCTGGGCCTTGTGTGTACATACATACATACATACATACATACATACATACATACATACATACATACATACATACATACATACATACATACATACATACATACATACATACATACATACATACATACATACATACATACATACATACATACATACATACATACATACATACATACATACGTCGGACACGATAATGTAATATTAGAGCGTACCCTGCTTGCTTCAGAATTCAATAAAGTGAGTACGTTCTCTACTACGTTAAAATTCTGTATGCGTACTAAATTGACAGCTGCTATAAAGATTGCTAGTGATGTACATACCGCTAGACAAATCTGAATGTGCAGCGCGCCTCCCGCTAATCCAGTTGATCGAACAGCTAAGAACACTCCGGAGCGAAAAAGCTCCAACCTAATCCGGTTTCCAGATTGCTCACGGTTGGTATGAAGGATTAACGTGCGCGACAGCAAGAATGCCTGTGCCGTTGCGAAAGGGACGTGCAATCTTGATAGATCTACCGTTCCACGGATGTCCTTCGCATCGCAATGAAGCGTGATGAAGAGAAAGAAAGAAGGAAAGAAAGAAAAGAAAGAAAGAACGAAAGAAAGAAAAAGAAAGAAAGAGAGAAAGAAAGAAAGGAAATTTGACAGATTCCTTGTCACCTTAGGGATCGGGGCTAAGAGAAGCGTGCGGTTGCAAGGTGAATATGTTTTAATATTTAGGGGAGAAGCTCCTTATAGCATCACGTGGTCGGTCTTCGGTTGGCGTCGCTCAACCCAGCGTACCACCCCAGTAGCGTCTCCCTTATCATTCAATAAATGGCGCTGTCCCATAGAGATGCACACAAAGTGCAGTTGGGTGACGATATGCTACATCGCACCGTACGCATTCTATGTCTTCATCGCCATTTCTCGTCTAGTTAGGAGTCCTAGATGGCGCTGTTCCACAGAGATATGCAATATGTCATTTTGAGTGAATGTACACTAGATGGCGTTGGAAGTGCAGCTGCTCTCCGATTGGCTGTTTCACGGGCTGCACGGGGCTGTGCGAGGTGCGAGCGCCATAAAAGGCCGCTCGCTCCCGTTATCTGTCATTCTCCTGGATCGTCGCCGTACGTGGAGGAGTACGCTCGCGGGATCGTGTTTGGTTGGACGCATAGATGGACGCACGAACGGAAGCACAGACGGAAGCTTCGCCCCACTTATCACCATTCACTCCGTGCATACGCCTTGATTTTTTATTGAGCGAAACAATATGGAATGGCGCTATATATGCGTACAAATTCACGCACGCACATGCGTTAAACAGCCGCATATGTTTTATATTAGCAGTTCGCAGTTGCGTAACGATTCCAACAGCAAGACTGATATTAATAACACCAGAAGCGGTAAGCTAATATGAAGCGCTGGTGAAGCGCTAGAGGGCACCTAACTACACTTGACGTTAACCCAACATGACGGCTGTATCATAGCAATACATATGTAATGTTTATGAAATTTGATAGACAGTACTGCAGCCAGAATTTACGTTTCAGTATGATTGGGGTCTATTTGCAAAGTATTTCCGAGACCTGGCGCGGGTCTGTGGTTGAATACTAGACCACCACGTACAGTGCTAGGGTTCGATTCCTGCTGGGACTCTGACATTTATTCTTTGCATTCGTCCGGTCAACGCTGCCCGGCAGCTTTTTCGTAACGCACAGGCGTTAAAGTTACTCATGTGTGTTCTAACCGTTCCTGGGTATAATAAGATGTCTATCACCTGTTGCGCATACCCTCATACTTGTGGCAAAGACGCGCCCCCGGGTATGTGCCACTGTTCTTTGGAAAGTGTTTCATGACGACCCTAGTCCGGAACGTCAGGGTAGGGGCTGGTATTGTGAGGGTTCACCAGCTCGTCACGCGCAAATTCCGTCGCACGCTCGAAACCGTCTGGGCCTTGTGTGTACATACATACATACATACATACATACATACATACATACATACATACATACATACATACATACATACATACATACATACATACATACATACATACATAAATACATACATACATACATACAT